CGGAGAAGGCAATCCTTCAATTCAGAGCTAGTGGAAACAGCGAATTTAGAACACAACTGTCGTTTGTTAAGCGTGTGCGCAGCATGCAGTTTCTCAGAAAAAGGCCTCATACTCATTCCCTACCTGTAGTGACTTGTTCTTCTCCTCGGCATCGAGTCTTGGTTCGCCCATTTCTAGAGCGCCACCGTTTCGGTGACCCCAAACTTCAATTGACAAAGCGTCGTCCTGCACATACTCGAGGAACTCTTCCGTAACCACGACTTTGAAATCCTACAATCAAGGCTTATTTGAAACCATATACTGCCTAACGACAGTGGAGTTGGCAAACCTTTTCATGGTCGAACACAAATGTAGTCGCTTGTGTTTGAGTCTCGGACGCTTCGGCTGGATCAAATACAGGAGCAACAACGAGCATTTCGGACAGATTGAAGAAGGAGTACTGACAAAAGACGAAGTGCGACAAAGATTCAGGTAACGAGGAGGCCTTCTTTATGCGAACCTGGAAATTGTCAATCGTTAGGGTGCGTTGAATGTAAATTTATATTAATCCCTGAGAAAACTCAATCCTGCTTTCAGATAGAGAGATGTAAGTTGGGCACGCTAGGACTTAAGTCTAGTCGTGTGGGGCTAAGGCAAGAGTTTACATGTCGTTAGTGGAAGAGCATCGTTGTTGGACCGCTCCTTCAAGCCTTTCCACCAATAGGCCGATGTCAGACTTTGCGAATCGCGCGATTCGCTAGCGTCTGCGGTCGCGTCGCGGCCAGTGAATCACTCAATTGGCTGGTACCGCAACGCGACCGCGGACGCTAGCGAATCGCGCGAATCGCTAGTAGCGAATCGCGCGATTCGCAAAGTCTGACATCGGCCATAACGATGCTCTTCCACCGATGACGTGAAGATCTCTTGCCCGCCTCTCAGCTAGCGCGACCGCTTCCTTTAACACGTTGACGACATTGTGCAGCGCATGCGCATGCACACCTTGAGCACCGTGTGGGACCGTGTGCAGCGCATGCGCTGCACACACAAAATATTTTTTTTTTCGCGCATGCGCTACTTCTTTTCTAATTTTTTGCATTTTATATTCTCCGTGCTGAGATCATATAATTGTGATGTCTAATTACTTATCATTAAAAGATCTTGAAAAAGGAGTTGTAAAGAAGTTGACAAGATGAAGACTGTTGAAGATAGCAGGTTCGTTACTCACCAGTCGCATGGAGCTCCGGGAATATCTGAGTTCGGAGCTGGAATCGAAACAGCCGTACGTTCTTCCGTTAATGAAATCCACTGTCCCATTAACGAGTGCTCACGTTCGAGCTCTGCTTCACATTTGGCGGTTTTGGAACACAGCTGTAAACAAGACAATTGGTTTCCAAGAGTTCCGAGAGTTCCCGAAAGTTTTCATTGTTTGCTTTTAAGTCGCGTGGCAAGATGGCGCAAGGGTCCAACCAGGAAAGTCATTCAGGACATGGGGCGATTTTTCAAAACGGTTCGCTGAATGTTATAGGGGCACGAAAATGGAGCACAATATGGTGATCATTTTTCTGAGCGGCACTGGAATTGCCAGAAAAAGGGCAGAAAATTTTCCTTTGCAAGTGGGGGCAAGTCTAAACACCCAGATCCGAAAATCTGCTGCAACTAAACTTCAAGGAATGCAGGTGTTCCGAGCAGAATAATGATAGCAACATTGCAGTATCAGCTTTAACATGTACAGCAGTATAAATAGCGTGGTAGAGTTACTAACCGAGTCTAGTTGCTGTTCAAGGTACTTCTGCCGACTCTGCAGTGCCAAAGTCCATTGAGCGCGTATTCGTTCGAGATCTTCTTCCTGGAAACAATCAACTCAACAGCGCGACGGCTAAGAACATTTCCCACTACGCTAGTAAAACATACCTGGTAACTGTCGAACATTCTTCGATCACCCGCTTCAGATACACATACACATCCGATACTAACACTTGTAATCGTGTCTATGCCGAGGGGTAGACCGGCACCGTGCTGAGGAAGCGACAAACCCACAACGAGTCGTCTTTGCTGGCCCTGCGAAGAAAATTGCTGAAGTGATCAGCTGATCTACAAATAAGTAAAGAGCTGGGTTACTTGTTTGAGTTGATGAACTCCACCGGTGGCCACGTCCTCCTGCTGTCGCACCTCAACTGGTACCCACTGACCGGTTTCGCTGAGCTCTCTAAACTCTGTCCATAGCTCCAACCGCCTCGATACCTCAGACCACCTCGCCTGAACCGTTTATTTTGAAATAGGTGGAGGGAAAGCGGAGAAGGCAATCCTTCAATTCAGAGCTAGTGGAAACAGCGAATTTAGAACACAACTGTCGTTTGTTAAGCGTGTGCGCAGCATGCAGTTTCTCAGAAAAAGGCCTCATACTCATTCTCTACCTGTAGTGACTTGT